AGGAGTAGGAAGAGGAGACGGCGAAAGGATAAGAGGGAGAGGAAGAAGAATAAGAGCAGAGGGATAAGAGGAGGCTGTGGTGGACATGGAGGAACAGAAACGGATGAACAAGCAAGAAACAACAGAGAACAAAAGCAAAGAAGCAAAGAAAGAATGAAAGAAAGAAAACAAACAAACAAACAAAATCTCAATGCACACACACATCTTCCGTCTCTAACACCCAACTAATTTACCCCAAAAAACAACGAATTAAAAAAAAAAAAAAAAAAAAAAAAAAAAAAAAAAAAAAATAGTTGCTGTCACTTTCCCATTCAGCAACTCTGGCGATTCAATTTCTCCTCACTAATGCGCTGAGGTGGAGTCCGCGAGCATCTTGGTGGAAGTGGAAGGAGTCACATCGAAAGGACTTTGTGGAGGAATAGCGGGGAAAGTGGAAGGTGGAAGGTGGAAGGTAGGCGTTGATAGTGACTGTGATGGTGATGGTGAGAGTGAGTGTAGTGACGGTTGTTAGAGGCGGGATGAAGATGACTGTAATGATAGTAATTATGATAAATAATGATGATGATAGTAAAGATAATAATATTGATAATAATAATGACAATAATACTGATAATACTAATAACGATAATTAAAGTAATAGTGATATCATAGTGACGATAACAACACCGATGATAATATAACAATAATGATAATAAGGGTAATAGCTATCATGACAAAGATAATACTGCTAATAATAACATTACCAAATAAAGCCAATGATACACACACACACACACACACACACACACACACACACACACACACACACACACACACACACACACACACACACACACACACACAGATATATATATATTTCCCCTTTTTGTGTTCACTTAAGTGTCGTAAAACAAGTTCAATATCCAAGAGGTCGTTATTAGCTCTTCACTTGCAAAGGGGGTGGGGGTATGATGACCAATGGTGAAGAGGAGGAAGGAGGGGAGGTACAGGAGGTGAATAGACAGAGCTAGAGGCAGATAGAGAGACAGGCAGAGAGGAAACGAGATCAGATTAACTCAGATTCCAGGTAAATAAATCAGGCATTGGAAAGAAAGAAAGAAAAAAAATACGTCAACGCCACAGAACACGGTCACGATTTATGTTGTTTTGTTAACTCAGAATACCACGGTGTGTGTGTGTGTGTGTGTGTGTGTGTGTGTGTGTGTGTGTGTGTGTGTGTGTGTGTGTGTGTGTGTGTGTGTGTGTGTGTGTGTGTGTGTGTGTGTGTGTGTGTGTGTGTGCGCGCGTATGTCCATGTGTGTGTGTGTGTGCGCGTATGTCCATGTGTGTGTGTGTGTGTGTGTATCCGTGTTCATTTCACAATCCACACGAAACCCCGCACAGACGTTTATTATTCACGGCTAACCCTCGTGACATTTTATCCCATGACTGTTCATTCTGAGAATCCGAATTTAAGTCCAAACTTTCGGTACCTTTTGACAATAAAAACGCAGTCGACTTTGCAACATCTGGGTATCATATAACGCATTTTACATTCATGATTTTCAAGTTTGTTATTCTCAATGTGAAAACTTAAAGCAAAATCTATAATTCATGATTCTTGATATGTTTTGTTATTATTCATTTATTGTTACAATTTTTTTTCCAAAACTCATCAAGATTAATAATTAAGAGAGAGGGAGAGGGAGGGAGGGAGGGAAGGAGAGAGAGAGAGAGAGAGAGAGAGAGAGAGAGAGAGAGAGAGAGAGAGAGAGAGAGAGAGAGAGAGAGAGAGAGAGAGAGAGAGAGAGAGAGAGAGAGATAGAGAGAGAGAGAGAGAGATTAGAAGAAAAGAGAAGAGAAGAAAAACAGAAGAGAAAGCGAAAGAAGGAAAGAAAGAAAAAAAGAAATAGAGACAAAGAGAGAAAGCATGCCATCCCCCATCCCCTCCCCCCCACAAGAAGAGGACCCGCAAACAATCCAACGATGAAATCCCGTGTTTGTTTCCATTCCGACTAACGACCCCACGACCTGATTCCTAGTGCCGGAAACGACGCGCGAGTTCACAGGTCCTGCAATTTGGCACTGGTGTCACTGGGGTAGGGGGGGGGAGAGGGGAGGGGGGGAGGAGAGGGGAGGGAGGTGGTGGGGATGAGAGAAGGACCAGGATAGGGTTAGTATCATGATTACGATGATGGTGGTGATGGTGATGATGATGATGATTGATGATGATAAAGATGATAATACGGATATAACTACTGTCACAACAATTGCAATGATGATGGCGGCAACGATAATCTACAAAACAACATTTAAAGGAAAGAGAAGTGTCATAACTAAATTCTAATTCTTAAAATACCCTTGAAATATCAAATCACTGCCAAGCACACACACACACACACACACACACACACACACATATATATATATTATAACCTTTACCATTCGTTTTCTAACAAACTTTCATTTCCTCTGTCCTTCAATGTACGTTAAAATCCACTCCAAAAATGGCATATAAGCA